TCCTGTCTCAAAAACTCCTATCCAGCAGAGATTTATGGGAAACAACGTTTAACCCACCAGTTAAGTGAAACTGCTCTGTAAAGTGATAGTAGCCATTCCCAGACTGCTCCCAATTTATACCCTACACAGCCCAGTCAGCTGCTCTGCTGAGCCATGGTCTTTACATTGCCGGGTTTTAACAGTTGTTGCATGAATCAAAGCACCAAGTTTACCAAGAATATGTGTCAACCATCATGATCTTTGGTTACATTGAAGCAGAACTTGTAAGTATAATTTCATCAACATTACTCTTGACTTGGGTCCACATTAGCTTTAGTAATGACTTGTCTTTCAGTTCGCTGGAGTAGGAACTAATGAAGTATGGACATCAGAAATGTTGAAGTTTCAAGGTCACACTCGCAAGATTGATAAAAATTCAGGCCCATCAATATGATGTTGATCCCATATCAGGTGGTAGTAGGCACATATGGAAGAAAACAAAAGCAAAATATGGTGCAACACTGTATATATATTAAACATACACTTTATTATGTTACACTCACAAGATAAATATAAAAGGAATGCCCATCAATAAATTAGTCCTGTAGTCACCAGTTCTGGTCCCGGGATGTTGTAAAATATGGTGAAAAAGGTTTTCGGGTCCAATGAATAGATGAGGCAAGGTAAAATAGTGTAAACAATGCAAAATAAAAATAAATAAGGTAGACAATAAAAAATAGCATTTACAGGGTTATTAACTGGAGTGAGAATTAAAATAAATTCAAAGTGAATTTCAAAATATACAAATTGGAAAATCTCTCCAAGTCAGGTTTGTTTCCAGATTGGCTACCTTGGCCTAAATTTCTAAATACATTTTGAATTCTCATTTAGAAACATATAAACATATAATGTGACGGCAGATAAGAACCATTCGGCCCATCTAGTCTGCCCAATTTTCTAAATACTTTCCTTAGTCCCTAGTCTTATCTTACAGTTAGGATAGCCTTATGCCTATCCCACGCATGCTTAAACTCCTTTAACCTCTACCACTTCAGCTGGAAGGCTATTCCATGCATCCACTACCCTCTCAGTAAAGTAATACTTCCTGATATTTTTTTAAACCTTTGTCCCTCTAATTTAAGACTATGTTGTGGTAGTTTTTCTTCTTTTAAATATAGTCTCCTCCTTTACTGTGTTGATTCCCTTTATATATTTAAATGTTTCTATCATATCCCCCCTGTCTCGTCTTTCCTCCAAGCTATACATGTTAAGATCTTTTAACCTTTCCTGGTAAGTTTTATCCCGCAATCCATGAACCAGTTTAGTAGCCCTTCTCTGAACCCTCTCTAAGGTATCAATATCCTTCTGAAGATACGGTCTCCAGTACTGTGTACAATACTCCAAGTGAGGTCTCACCAGTGTTCTGTACAATGGCATGAGCACTTCCCTCTTTCTACTGCTAATACAACCAAGCATTCTGCTAGCATTTCCTGCTGCTCTATTACATTGTCTGCCTACCTTTAAGTCATCAGAAATAATCACCCCTAAGTCCCTTTCCTCATATGTTGAGGTTACTTTAGTGAATAGCCCTGTTAATTGTTCATTGTTTAACTAAAAACAGCTTGCAAAACAGTTGCAGAACCCTCCTGCCTAGAATTTCTGTAGCTGTCCAATCAGAGACTTCCCAATGCAGCTCAATGAGAAGTCTTTGCAAGTCTCTAGGCAATTGCTGGCTCTTGAATTTAATTCCACTGAGCTAAACAACCAAGAAGTAACAAGACCTGTTGTCTGATTGACAGCCAGGAGAGTATAACAAGGTTCAATTATAAAAGCGTCTGTTTCTATTGAATTATCACTTTTTGTAAAATGAAAAAAAAAACAAGAGGGCACATTCTTCTCACATAGAGCACTTAAACAAGCTGCAATTGCTTTGGTGGTCTGGAGTGTTCCTTTAAAAGTGAAATCCTCATTCTGATTGAAAGTGTTGCCTGATCATTCACGTATGGACAGAGTGTTGAAAAAATTGTTTCAGTATGAAAGTATCTTTATTATATAATATTTAATGCCAGAAGCCACGGTTAAGCACAGCTGTCTGCTATTTGGATTGCAGTGCAGCCTCAACCAAGCTGTGTATGGCAGAAGTCATGTGTTGAGTGACGTGAATCCATGTGAATCATAACAGAACACAACCACTGACTATCAAATTTAATACAGATGTCTGCAGATGAAATATGGTTGTTTTTTTCATAATAAAATTTGTCTTGCATAGGCATTTGGAATGGTAGCTAACATGGGACTGTCCAAGAAAGTCCTTGTCTTTACTTAAATAAAAATCTGGCACATTTTGCTGGTCATCAGTCGCCTCAAATGCCATTCTCTGGTTGATGGCAACACAAATCAGCCTTACTTACATAGGGTTCTATGTTATTATGGCTGGTAAAAAGAGAAAATTATTTTACTGATCTATGCAATAATCCCAGGCAATTTTATTACATCCACGACCTGCTGTATTCCATGCAATAACAGCCCACATTATTCCAAGCAAAAACAGCCCAAGATAACTATATAAAGGGGCCGCATCCACCCAGAATTCTGGCAGGTCACCCTTAATGCATCCAATCAAGCAGGCCAACCCACCGAGAATGGACTATGCAGAGAAGACTGTTTCAGTGCTCTCTACAGGGTCCTAGTACCTTACAGCAGCACAAACACTTCTAGTGATGCATGAGCACTACACTTTTTGGGGACAGCGAGACACTAGCTTCAAAGTGGGACTGTGCCGCTGAAACTGGGATGGTTGGGGGGCACGCATTAGGTTGTGCACCAATAGGAAAATTACCTCAAATCTTAACTTAAAAATATTAATTAGTGTTATATTAATATTAAAATGAGGCTCAAAATATGATTTTTTAAAACTAGTGGCCTGGTGTATACAGAGATAGTCATTACTTTTTTCTTTCAAAACATAAGCTATCCCAAGCTTACACAAAGGTGTCCAAAAAGACATAAAGAAGGGACATGGAGGGCAACTTTGCCCTGTTGTAGTGTGTGCCTGAGCACCCAGCACACACTTTGCCCACACCTATGCCCTATAGATAACCATTTACTGGTATGTCAAACAGAAGAGGCAATATCACAACAAAATAGTGACAGAGGTAGTTAGTTAGGTCAGGATAAATTCTACAGACACAGGTTTTGGAGTACAGATAATTTGTTTACCCTGTTATAGGGCCTTTCCCAATTCACTGCAGTTCAAGGATCCTACCAACTCTTAGGTAGTTACTGGAACATTTTCCGGACAGGTCCAGACAATAACATTGCATACATTTAGCGTAACTAAAAACTAGAAAAAAGTGCCCTGTCTCATTCTCCCACACCCCATCCATGTGTCTCATTCTCCCAACATCCCTTCCATTTGTCTAATTCCCCCATTCCCATTCATGTGTCTCATTCTTCCCACAGCCCCTCCATGTGTCTCATTCTCCCCCCCTGCTCCTCCATGTGTCTCATCCCCCCCAGTCCCTTCACATGTCCCGTCAGATATCTCCTTGGATCAAGCAGCTATTATCCCACTAATTAGAAATGATATCCCTGTATGTTTTGTTTTTGGAAGTATTTATCCAATTGTTGTTTAACCCCTTAAGGACCAAACTTCTGGAATAAAAGGGAATCATGACATGTCACACATGTCATGTGTCCTTAAGGAGTTAAACACCTGTATGTACACTGATAAAACCACCTCTTCAGGCCGAGAATTCTGTATCCTTATAGTTCTTGCACACACATACAACCCTGCATGGATGGGTAAATGGTAGATTTACAGCTGACAAAGCATCCTCACAGTTGTACAACAGTTGAGATTACGCTTTTGGCTACCCCTGCGCTATAGGAGTGTAAAGGGGGTCAAAACATTTGTATGCACCTGGGCCTTCTCTACATTAATTATGCTACTGACTGGATGAACAACCTTAAAATAATATGATTGGGATTCCAAATATACACAGAAATTAATTAAAATAAATTTGGTGGCCTCTCCAGAACATGCATTTCTCAGTAGAGGTGCTGCAGAAAGACCAAAATATAAACAAAATAAAGATCAGGGAACAACACACACCCAAAAATACAGTTTTAATTCCTGATCATTTTAACCCCTAAAGAACCAGAGGATTGGGCACTCTCTGATCCATATTTTAATTGTCGTACTCCTGACAGGACTGTTTTTCAGTTTAACTCATGGATGGCATTGTTTCTCAGGGCTCTTTTGATCACTGAAAACAATCTCGGACACGTGATAATTAGATTGCCAGGTGAGCCCAATATAAGGAAAAACTACTAAAAGAGGGTGTTCTATATTATTAAGCAGAGCACCATTTTCATGCAATACGGGGAAGAAAAAGGATCTCTCTGCTGCCAAAAAGAGTGAAATAGTTCAATGCCTTGGACGAGGTATGAAAACATTAGATATTTCACGAAAACTTAAGCATGATCATCGCACTATTAAGAGATTTGTGGCTGATTTAGAGCACAGATGGGTTCGTGCAGATAAAGGCACGTTGAGGAAGATTTCTGCCAGATCCATGCATCAGATCAAGAGAGCAGCTGCTAAAATACAATTACATAGCAGCAAACAGATATTTGAAGCTGCTGGTGCCTCTGAAGTCCCACGGACATCAAGGTGTAGAGTTCTCCAGAGTTTTGCAACTGTGCATAAACCTTCTATTCGGCCACCACTAATGCTCACAAGCAGAAACGGCTGCATTGGGCAGACAAAATACATGAAGACTAATTTTCAAACAGTCCTGTTCACTGATGAGTGCCGTGCAACGCTGGATGGTCCAGATGGATGGAGTAGTGGATGGTTGGTGCACGGCCACCCTGTTCCAACAAGGCTGTGACGTCAGCAAGGCAGTGGTGGAGTCATGTTTTTGGCCGTAATCATGGGAAGAGAGTTGATCGGCCCCTTTAGGGTCCCCGAAGGTGTAAAGATGACCTCTGCAAAGTATGTGGAGTTTCTGACTGACCACTTTCTTCCCTGGTACAGAAGGAAGAACTATACTTTCGTAATAAAATCATCAATGCACCATCTCATGCTGCAAAGAATACCTCTCAATGGTTGCTATGGGGATAAAAGGAGAGAACGTCATGGTGTGGCCTCCATCCTCCCCTGACCTCAATCTTATTGAGAACCTTTTGAGCATCCTCAAGCAAAAAATCTATGAGGGTGGGAGGCAGTTTACATCCAAACAGCAGCTCTGGGAGGCTATTCTGACATCTTGCAAACAAATTCAAGCAGAAACTGTCCAAAACCTCACAAGTTCAATGGATGCAAGATTTGTGAAGCTGCTATCAAATAAGGGGTCCTATGTTAAAATGTAACTTGACCTGTTGAAATGTTTAAAAAGTTAAAATGTTGTTGTAAGTTTGATTGAAATAGCTTTTGATTTCAGTAAATGACAATTTTCAGTTCTTTACAACCTATAAAGTGTTTTGAAACTTACTGTGCGTAATAATTTGGAACAGTGCATTGTAAGTTTTTTATATTTTAAAAAAATACTGTTATCATTGGGAGGTTTGTTCAATACAATTTGAATTGTACTCTTAATAGTTGATAACATGAGAATTTTGCTGACTGTTATTTACATCAATTATTTAGGTAAATGAGAAAAATATAATTTGCATAATAATTTGGAACAGGGTGTATGTAGCATTTACATTTGAGAGCCTGTTCTTCAAATTCAACTTAGTTGGACTGAGTTTAATTCCAACTTATTATATTTATGTGACAAAAAGTGATGAAGTGGAACACTAAAAAAAACAAGTGCATTTATAATTACCCTTAATAGAATGGTGTATCACGGTCATATAGTGAGTATATAAAAGAAGGAAACAGAAGGATTTGTGGGCTCTGAGCAAAGTGAGCTTAACAACCTTTAAAACTAGTTCATGTATATATTGTACCACCGGAATTCTTTTTCTTCTTTTTTTCTACATATCCACATTTGGAGACCCACTCGATGGATGCTACCATAAAGGGAAAAGGCGTTGATTAGAGAGCCAGTAGTTACAGGCTCTGATCCATGTCAGTGGCTCTTATCATTTATTATCTCAAATTCCATGTGTATTGCCATCTACGCTATATATTTGTTTTTTGTTTCCTTCTTTTATGTACTCACTGTATGTCTATTCTATTCTATTAGGAGTAAATATAAATGCACTTGCATTTTTTAGCGCTCCACTTTATCACTTTTGTATTTTATCTGTGTGTGGGCATAGGGGTATTCCCACATTTAAGTGTTCTGAGTTTGGTGGGCATAGGGGTATTTCCACATTTATTATTATTATTATTATTATTATGATATTTATATAGCGCCATCAAATTCTGCAGCGCTTTACAATGGGTGGACGGACAGACATGTAGTTGTCACCAGACAAGTTGGACACCCAGGAACAGAGGGGTTGAGGGCCCTGCTCAATGAGCTTACATGCTTGAGGGAGTGGGGTAAAATGACACAAAAGGTAAGGATTTAAGTGTTCTGTTCTGCTATTTCACTTTTAGAATTTTAGGTGCTTAATTACAACACACTAATTTTACTTTTTGGAGTAAATATTTTGTTTTGCCAATTTATTATACTGTTTTTGTTTTTTTGGCTAGTTTCAATGTAATGCTAATTATATTAATAACAGAAAGGATGAACAGGTTAATTAGTTTTATGCTCGCATTTATATGCAATTGTGTTTATTTCCTTCATATAAAACATTTCTAAGAACTTTTTTGATTGTATAGTGATGCAAAGAAATGTATTCAGACGTTGCAATTCGAGTGGAGGTTATCCAGTTCTCAGCTGTCTGTAACCAATCCAGAGCAGTTTACTCTCAACAAGAGCAAAGTACATCAGTACTTTCTCTCTGTCAAGCTACGTCAGTCTGTTTCCCATGAGTGCAGTCCCCGGAGAGGGCTTAATGATAATTCCACTTTTGTTTTCAAGCTAAGAGATCAGTGCCAGTGTGGGATTGCATTATTACATGTCAATAACATATTTGGTTTGCTTTTCCAAGCACAGGATATGCCTAAATTCTGAACATTCCCATTATTGCCAGGAAGTTGTACATTTGTGACTGCTATAGCTTGAGAACAAAGGTTGGTTAAAGAAAACAGAAAGACGCATCAAGGACATTATAATTTCAGCATTAAAAGTGTAAATGTTGGTACAGTATAGCCTTGAGCTTCTAGCTGGCATGCTTCCAATTTACGCAATTGATGAATATCTGTTTTTCCAACTTTGTTGGATTTGTGTTAACCCCTTGTAACCAGTGTCAGTCAGTTAGTTATTACCAATGAGATGTCTATGAAAAACCTAAGTTTGTTAATCCAGATATCGACCTCTGTTGGGCACAGCAAAGACGTATTTCAATAGAATGACTCAAACCTGGAATGTGACTTCTATGTGGCCTCTTTTTCACTTTAATTTGTCACCATTCCTATAGTCTGCAAATTACTCTTTAAGTCAGGGATGTCAAACTTGTTTTATGGTAGGCCATATTGTCCAATGAAATATGTATGGACGGCTGAATGCATAATACAGGGTGGGCCAAAATTCACATATGTGCACACACACTCAGATACACACAGACATAAAGGAACATATACACTTAAAGACATAAAGATACCCACAGTGCCCCCCTATAGCCTCTGCCCCCCTCTCAGCCCCTATTTCTGCCCTATAGCCTCTGTCCCCCCCCTATAGCCTCTGTCCGCCTCTCAGCCCTTGTCCCCCTCTCAGCCCCTGTGTCCCCCTCTCAGCCCCTGTGTCCCCACCCTCAGCCCCTGTGTCCCAATCTCAGTCCCTGTGTCCCCTCTGTGAAGCCTGTATCCCCCTTCTCAAGCCCCTGTGCCCCATCCATGGCCAGTGTGTCCCAGTCTAAGTCCCTGTGTTCCCCATCTCAAGTCCCTCTGCCCCCCTCTCAAACCCCTGTGCCCCCCTCTCCACTCCCTGTGTCCCCCTCTCAAGCCCATGTGTTCCCCTCTTAAGCCCCTGTGTTCCCCTCTAGAGCCGATGTCCCCCTACAACAGCCCATGTGCCCCCACCAAAGTCTCTGTGTCTCCTTATAGCCCCTGACCATCTACAGCTCCTGTCCCCTCTCAGCCCTTGTGTTTCCCCTCTCAGCCCCTGTGACCCCCCTCTCAGCCCCTTTCCCCCCTCTCAGCCCCTTTCCCCCCCTTTCAGCCCCTATGTCCCCCCTCAGCCCCTGTGTCCCCTCTCAAGCCCCTGTTTTCCCACTTTCAGCCCATGTGCACCCCCCCATCAGACCCTGTGCAGCCCCAGTTAGCACACCACTCACAGACACTGGCAGGAAAACTATCTCTTAAACAGAGACAGTCTTGTGTTCCTTCCCTGAGTGCTTCCAGGCACACAAGGAAGTGCTGCAAGGGTCTCTCCAGTCCTGTTAGACCACGTTGTATTTTATGTGTCTGTGGTTTCTTTGTTTATTTATTTGTATTTATTTGGTGTATTTTTACTCAAGCTAGCAGCTCCTTTAATGCTAGTGTCTTTCCATTTATTAAAAATCTCAACCCAACATGATCCCTAAGTGTTTAAGCCCTTTCTCTGGCAGCACAGGGAACAGGTTAGTTGATTATCATTGTCCAAGCACAGTACTTGCCTCCTTGTGATCTGCCCTCTCTTCTCTACCTCACTCATGGTGTAAGCTACCTCCCTTTTTTTACCCCAAGCTCCCCTCTGTCTTGCAAGGATAGCATCCACACTGTCCCTTTTCAACTCTAACCCTGTAACAGTCTTGTTCATTAATCTATGAAAACTATACATAATCTATGCGTAAACTGCTACAGAGGGACACTAACACTCTGAAGACATCTTGACTTCCAGCGAATTTGTGAAAAGAAGTCGTGTGGCTAAAGGGATTGAAGTTATTCAAAAGAAACCTGTAATATACTTTTATTTTTTGTTTCAAGACAGCTAGTGATAAGTGAAAAAGAAAAAAACATGAATTCAAGATCCATACCAATAGATTAGACATGTGTTGAGCTGGTACCCAGAGTGTCCCTTTACATAGTTACATAGTTGAAAAGAGACTTGAGTCCATCAAGTTCAGCCTTCCTCACATTTGTTTTTGCTGTAAAATCACACTATGTTGTCAGGCAGCTCATTGATATTACAATGAGCAATCATCACTGCGCACACATGCAATATTTACTTAACAGAATCTGAGTCAGTTAATTGCCTGACATGATCAATTAAAATGGCAATGGGCAGTGCATGGCGACGGAACATGACAAGGTCGCTGTTGTAGTGATAGTTTTCCTTTACGTTGCTAATATTATTGGACTAGCGGTAAGTGGTGATTCAGTACTCATCATAGCCAATCATCATAGCCAAGGCATTTCTAGGGTTATCAGTTTGACTTTTTAATGGTAACTGTCACTTTTATAGAATTTATACCATTGAATAGATCGTTTAGAAGTACCTCTGACGTCTGTTAGCCTTTTCTCATGAGATGCTACTTTTTGCTTTAAACCAATAGCAAATATTTAGCAAATAACATTATAATCCAGGTCATATGAGGAAAAGCCAGAGCAAACATTAAAAACTAAGTGGAGAAAAAGAAATATTATTTAATCTCTAACCTTCTCTGTATGTTTTCTCTACGCTGACTGCCAGTTTAAAACGACAGAGTTTACAATAATGATTTAAAGGAACCAAAGATGGAGGCACCCAGGTACAGGATAGAGAGGTGTGGATTTTACATTTAATATTATTTTTACTTCTCGAAAATCTACATTAGTTAAATAAAAGAATAAGTAAACATAATTTTGCAAACCTTGAGAAGTGATGGTTCCATTTTAACTAATGTTGGCTTGAGCAATCCCAGCTAGATTAATTTATACTGGCCAACAGTAGTGATGTACCGAACGGTTCGCCGGCGAACGGTTCCTGGCGAACATAGCATGTTCGCGTTCGCCACGGCGTGCGAACATATGCGCGGTTCGACCCGCCCCCTATTCGTCATCATTGAGTAAACTTTGACCCTGTACCTCACAGTCAGCAGACACATTCCAGCCAATTAGCAGCACACCCTCCCTAGCAGACCCTCCCACCTACTGGAAGGCATCCATTTTAGATTCATTCTCAAGCTGCATGCTTAGTAAGAGGAGGGAAAGTGTAGCTGCTGTTCATAAGATAGGGAAAGCATAGCTAGGTTAGGGATAAGGGTATGCTTTTTTTGGAT